GTGGAGGAGGGGACAGCAAGCTGGCAGCCCTGCCCAGCACCCTTCATGGGCAGCAGGTGGTGGCCTGAGGCTGCTGGGTGGGCACACATGCCTGCTGTGTCACCTCACCGCCCTGCTTTGGGGCACCTCACTGGGCAGCCACTTGGTCACAGGAATGGAAACAGCCCATCCTCTGCCCTCTCCTGGTTTTCCCGCATCCACCCCCGGGCCTGTGACAGAGAGGAGGGTCCAAGGGGTGAAGCTGTCCTACCCCTGCCTAGAACCAGGACCCCCCAATTATAGAACCCCATCCTCTGCCCTCTCCTGGTTTTCCCGCATCCACCCCCGGGCCTGTGACAGAGAGCAGGGTCCAAGGGGTGAAGCTGTCCTACCCCTGCCTAGAACCAGGACCCCCCAATTATAGAACTGCACCAGCTAGAGGGCTCTTCCAGAGCAGCAGGTCTAAGCCCCAGATTTCACAGATGGGGAAACTGAGACTCAGGGAGGAACAGTGACTCCCACAGCATCAAGATTGGAAGCCAGGCCCCCTGCTCTCCAGACCAGAACTCTTTGCATCCTACCTTCTACCCAACCTGTTTTCAGGTGAGCTTCCAAGGGACAGGTGACAAGAAGCCCTGCCTGCTTAGGTGGTGGGTAGTGGGTGTGGGTGAGGGGGTTTGAATGGGTACGTTTGCCTCCTGGGGGGATAATCTGCCTGCCTATGGGGGCTACTTGTATGAAATAACTGCCCCACACCTGACTGTGCCCCCAGCCCTCCAGACTGCTGCTCCTACCTCCCCATCCCTTCCTTCACAGCTCCCCCCAACACAGGGAGCTGTCCCTTTCCTCCTGTCCCTTACAAATTCTTACCCCAAACTCATCTGTGCTGAGTCCTCGCTGAATGTGACTGCTGCAGGTACTCTGGGTCCCCAGGCACTGACAATACGTGCATGGCTGTGCATGTGTGTCCTGCCTGCTCTGCCTCTCCCACTAGGCCATAAGCTCCCCATGGACAGACGTGGGTTTTCCCTTGTCTTGGTAACTTCATCTCAGACCTAGCCCACAGGTGCTCACCACTCCCAGGAAAACGGCTGGGGCACATCTGGCAGAGACCCCAGAGCCACAGGCCCCAGAAAGTCAGAGATGGCATGTCTCATAGGCACCACATGCTGCAGGGCGTGAATAGATTGGAAGAGTTCCATGGCCAAATACATCTGGGCCAGCCTGTTTAATACAAGACCAGCTTCATGCAGGACTTTTCAGAACCTTTAACATACTGATAGGCATTGTGACTCTCCACGACGGGGCCAAAGGTGCTCTCACCCCAAAATTAAGAGCCCACACAATCCACTTGCAGAGCAGGCAATATATGCTGGAAATGCTGCATCCAAACTCAACTCAGGGAGACCTGAGGTCCACAGGGCAGAGGGTACCAGCTGAAATGTGGCCGCTGCCTGTCATATAGCACCTTTGTGCAAATTAGAAAAAGGCGTCTCCCTCCTAAAGACCTGTCTGTGGGAAAATTAACACCAGCGTATTGACTTTATTAGAACAAGACTCCTTACTGCTATCTGCTGGAAACATCTAATAATAACTATGTTAACCTATACTGTATGTGGGAATGGCACCCACCCCTCCTTAGATGTGGCAGTCTTGGTCCAGTAACCTGCCCAACCACGCATGGCAGCCCTGAGTCCAAAGTCACACGATCCTAACCTGCCCATCATTTTCTTTCTGCCTGAACAATGTTCTGCACAATGTCCTAGGTGAGTGTTCTGAATTGACCCCTAAGCCTCAGCCCCAGCAGGGTTACACCTGGAGACGGTCAGGGATGCTGGGGCTTCACGTGTGTCATCTCTCCTGCTCATTACCTGGTCCGTGGCAGACTCAAAAGACTGACTGCTGAACGGATTCCATGAATGCTTATGCACTGAGAGCACTGACTGGTGAGCAGGGACCGGGATCCAGATCAGCATGGGCTCTAACTTGTGTAACTGTAGGGGAGTCTGTACCCCTCTCTGGGCCAGGTTTCCCTTCTGTAGAATGAGGCAATTGAGCTAGATCATCTCCAGGGGCTCAGAGAAGTATGAGCTGACAGTGACACCCGTTCCCCTCAACCCCCATGGAATTTTGACAAGAGCAGGACAGTCATCCCAATTGCCAATGGAAAGACAGCCGAGAAGACAGCAGAAATACAACCTGAATTTTTTTATTAGACTAGGAAATATAATTTATTTCATAAAAATTAATTTTGTTACAATAGGAATGCTAAACATTATTTACAGGTTGTAGTTTACAGAATAAACAGAGGTGGGATTGGGGGTTATTCCTGGAGTCCTGCACCCCCTCGGACATATAACCATGTCCATGGCCCAGGTAGGGGGTCCAGCCCTTTCCCCCAGGAGAGCTGCTCCCTGTTAAGGCCCAGCTCAGCTGCCTGGGAGCTGGGGAAAGGGTGCCAGAAGACCCTGGATCACTCAGGAGATGAGAAGGGTCCCCCCTGCCCTCAGGAGGACTCTGCCCCCAATCTCTGGAGCTTGGGGCACTGCGAGAGAAGGAAGAGGGAGAGGCACGTAGAATATAAACCGACTGACCCTGTGGACTCAGGGAGGGCAGAAACAGGCACGCCAACCTCCAGATGTCCAAGCCTGGGATGCAGAGGAGGACACACACACACACACACGCAGGTGGGGACATGTGTACATGTTCCCAGAGAAAAGCACAGGTGAACTCACACATGCACACACACCCCAGAGATGAGAGAGACGTAAACACCTGCGTGCGAGCCCTGCAAGCCTTCAGCTGCACCCACGCTGCAGCTCCCAAGGTACGTCCCAGTGAGAGAAACCTCTGAACCCACCCCCAAGGCAGGCAGTGTGCAGAAGTAGTTGCAGCAGCCTCGGCAGATTGATGGAGGCAGCAAACCCTTTCTGGGCTTTTCTTATCAAGCTGGATAGTCTGAAACCTCCCAGGAGGCTCCAGCCAATTGGTTCTGGGCTCCAGGCCATGGTACACAATTTCTGGAAGTCAGGTTGGAAATGGCACCTGGATGGTTGGCTGGGCCTCACCCACCAAGAGCTCCTGTCCTGGGGGCTGAGACAAGCAGACTTCCAAGGGTGGGAAAGAAGAGGACAGAAAAGGGCAGGGAGGAAGGGCGTGGCAGACCACAGTCAAGTTCTGCCCACTAGGGTTCTTTTCTGAAGCCCAGAAAACAGTGTGTCAGAACCCAAGGGGCCCAGACAGCAGCCACGAGGCCTTTTAGGTATAAAAAGGACACTGAGGCCCAGAGAAGGCAGAGGCATGCCTGAGGTCACACAGCAATTTAATGGCCGAATTGGAACTTGATTCCTGGTATTCGGACTCCCTGGCACACCATGTGACAGAGGCTCACCCATGTGCTTGGGCTAAGAGTGACCAGTGAGGCTGGGCCCTCAGGAGACAAGAGCCCTTAGCAGGGAGGGCTCACTGCCTTTGTCTGAGGCAGTGTCCACACAGGCACTGGGGTCAGAAGCCTTGTCAGCCTTAGGGGTCCAGCCAGGGCCCAGACCCCGTAGCATCCTCAATAGAAGGAATCCTCTCTCAACTTCTGGGCAGGTTCTCGTTGGCCCACCCCAGGGGGGCTGGTGGATGGTGAGAAGTCCCATGAACCCCTGAGACCACAGCAGGGAAGCCAGGCTGGGGACTGCTGCCCTAAAACCTGCTCTGCTCTCAGGAGATGAGACTTTCAAAGTCCAGGATGCGCCAAGGCTGGTCCCTGCGGCTGCTCAGGGGCCTGCTGGGGCAAGCCCTGGGGTCAGTGCCTGGAGCTGCCATGGAGAGCTGCCATGCTGGCACTTGCCTTGACTTGAGTGCCAAGCAGGAGAGGCCTTTGATGAGGCCTCTGTGCCAGCCGCAAGAACTGGTCCCAGCCACTGCCAGCCAGCTGAAAGGGGCTGGGGACTCATGCCTCCCACCTCAGGGCCCTCTGGGACATCCTGGAACAGGTTGGGTGTGGGTGGGGGGTGCCAGCCCCTTCGCCTTGGCAACCCTGCCCATTCAGAAAGGTTACTTCTAGTTCTCCCACACTGCAGAGAGTGGGGGAGAAGGGGGTTAAAGGAGGCGCCTGTGGAGATCAGAGGTGGGAAAATAGCTTTCCACTGTCCCCCTCCCCTCCCGGTGTGTAAAGCTCAGCCAGGCCACCACCTGCACCTCCCACGTGTGGGCTGACTGCTCACAAGCTCCTAAAGCCGCACCGAGGCTGGGGAGTAAGCACAGGTTTCTGCAGCTAGAGAGGCCCTCTTATCCATTTCTTCTGTTTTATAGGAGAAACTGAGGCTGGATTTTGGATTCCTGGGTGTGCCAGCCTTCTATAACCCACCTGGGTGGTGTGGGGATAGGGGTGCCGTGGCTGGCCCCACCCTGGGGGTAAAGCTCCCAGCCCCTCAGGAGAGGTGTCCATGGAGGCCTCTCCTCCCCTACTTATCTCTGCTTGAGCCCCACTTCTGAGCTACATATAGCCCCTCTCTAGGAGCCACCAGGCCAGGACCAGACCAGACAATTCTCCCTGGCTCACAGCTGGCCTGGCTCACCTACATTTTCCATCCCAGGGCCTCTTAATCTGGATTCCCAGGAGCCCAGAGGAGCTGAGGGGTGTCTGCCTGGGGCTGTCGGGAGAGAGGACTCCACCTACTCCAACCCTCACAAGCTTCTTTGCTTTATGGATTTGGTGTCTGCTTAAGATTTTAGAGAAAACTTGGTACCATGACTAAAACCAGTCTGACCTATTCCCTGCACAACTGGGGAGACCGAGGCCTTGTCAGAACTTAGTCCAAGATGGATTCACTAGCAGCTAAGTATCCCCTGTTCAGTCTCTCCCTGATTCACACACACAGACACGCACGCGCGCGCACACACACACACACACACACACTCACACACACACTCTCATACTCACTCACTCACACTCACACTCCTGGCCAGAACCATGAGCACACCCACTCTCATCCACACTCAAGAAAAGAGTTTTCTATTTTTTTGTGGGTTTTTTTTTTTCTTAAAAAGGACTTATCCAAATATCTGGATAATAAATAATTTGCGTTTCCTAAGAAACTGGGTTTTTCTTTTCCCTTGTGGTTTTGGTGTTTGTCTTCTTTGAGCCTCACTAGCAGGCTGACACTTTCTTTCTTTCGTTCCTTTTCCTTTTTGCTTTTGCGTGGGAGAAAGCAGTTTGTCTGAAAAGTACTTGACTCTTCAAAGAGGAAAAGGGAGTGAAAGCAGAAGGGGGCTTAGGGAGGAGAAAGAGTAACAGGAAGAAAATGAAGAACGGAACTGAAACCGACGGAACCCAAAGTCATGGGGCTGAGGGCGGGAGGGTGGGGGTGGGGCGAGGCCCCTCCTTGCCCCTCGACTGCCTCCAGAGGCCTTGGCCCCATCCCGAGTCCCACACGGAGGTCTGAGGCCACCAGGAGAGACAGCAGGGGATGCAGAAGGATTCCTGCCTTGGGCCCTCAACAACAGAGTACATGGACTTTTCTAAGGCTGGTCATGGTCTGGGGGTTGGGGAAAAGGGAGGAGTGGGGGCGACTCCAGCTGTGAGCCAGGTGGCAATGGAGGCCAAATGTCCCCGTAAGGAGGCTGCCCCAGGCCTCCCTGCACCTGCCTCCTGCCAGTCCCCGCCAGCTGCGGTGCCAGGTGGCTCAGCAGTCTCCGTCGGTGGCCATGGCCACCAGCATCTCACTCTTGCCCATCTCCTCCAAGGCACTCGCCAGGCTGTTGAGGTCCCCGTCATCCTGCTGCAGAGCTTCCCAGAGGTCCAGGATTACGCCGGTGGGGCTCGCTTTGGTGGCAAAGTAATTCAGGTACCTGGTGGAGGGGAAGATAAGGGCACTGGGCTCCCCGAATGCTCAGCACTTCCCAAGAGCTTGGGGTGGAGGGAGCACAGGGAATTGGGAAGACTGGTCTCTGGGGTCCCACAGTCCTGGGTCTGAATCCCAGCTCCTCTGTTTGCAGGCTGTGTGGCCTTGGCAAATCAATGCAACTCTCTCAGCCTCAGTTCCTCATCTCTAAAATGGGAATGATGCCAGTCACCTCCCAACGTTGCAGATAAGATCCCAGATCATCTAAAGTAAAGGTCAAGCATGTAACAATCTCTCCAGGATGTAACAATCTTGTTCTTTATAATCATTCATCATCATCATCATTATCACTGAAAGATGCTGGCACCAAGAGAGACTGTCGCAGCCCAGCACGCCGTTCTCTCCCGTCCTTGTCCTCCTCTCACCTTCATTCCCTGACTGATCTTGCCCCATGAACTCTCCTGAGAGTAGGAACAAAGCCTCAGCCATCTTCGTAAATCCTACCCATTTCTAGCAAGATGTCTTGTTCATAGCATCTGCTCAATGCAGGTTGATTAAACACTTTTTCAGTAAGTATAATATTACTATTATTGCCATTGTAATTTATCCAATATTTGAAGTTCTCCAAAAGAGTTTTGACCCCAAGGTGTATTCTGTTACTCAGCAGGCATTTCCAGGGCACCTGCTCTGTCCCGGGCCACTAGTGTGCTTATGGTATCACATCTAGCTGGTGTCCCAGCCTTATGTGATTCTTTATCACAGTCATCCCATGAGATGGCAGGTGGACCTTTATTTCCGTGCCAAGGGAGGATAGCAGGGCAGTCACTTAGAGCCTGCCTGGCTCTCAGACCAGTGCTCTGAGATGACGCTCCTCAAAGTAAGAGTATTCTCGGACTTAGCACAGCCATGCCTGAGCCCCTGATCTGCTGCAAATGGTGGCAAGTGGGCAGTGAGCTGGGAGTTGGCCATGGCCTGTCAGGATGCCTGCACACTGACCCTGCTAGGCTCGAGGAAGGGAGGTGGGGGTGGGCCGGGGTTTGGCTGGGGCAGGCCTGACACTCACCGGTCCATGGAGAGCTTCTGTGCCAATAGCCGCCAGTCATTGCCCCGCGAGTTGGGGGCGTCGAGGCTGTTGCATATCTTCTGGCGGATGGAGAGCGGGATCTTGAAGGCGTAGGGTCCCAGCTGGGTAGTGATGGCATTGCTGGGGGCAGAGCAGAGGGCATCCAGGGAGCCAGCAGGTGTCTGGAAGGGCAGGGGGCAAGAGTGAGAAGCACATTCCTGAGCATCTGCCCCTCCAGACTCCTGCCCCTCCTACTCTGGGCAGGCTCCAGTTGCTCAGGCTAGTGTCTTCTCCCCCAAGGGCCAGTCCCCAAGGACAAGGGTTGCAGGTCCGCCTCCAGGCCCTCAGGGGGTGCACCATGTGAACCCACCGCCCCAGGAAAATGCGGATGCAGCCTCAGATTAGGAAGCCCGAGGAGCCTCAGCCAAAGCCTAACCCACGTAGATGCATTTTTACATGCGTGGAAGATAAAGTCTAGAAAGGCAAGTGACTTGCCCATGGTCACATGCCAAGTTTGTGTCAGAGCTGGGTCCAGACCTACATCTAGTGCTCTTTATGCACTGAAAGGAGGATCTAGCATTGTCTGGGTGGTCTAGGTTTTTAAGCCTCAATCTGGGTTTATGGTGGTAGAGAGCCACAGGCTTGGTCCTTGCATCGACCTGGGTTCAGATCTGGTCTTGCCCCTGCCGTGACTGTGTGCAGATACCTGCCCTCCCTAAAGCTGACTTTCTCATCTCCCACGTGGGGATCATATCTGTCTTATCTGTCTCCCAGTGGTCATGAAGATTCAGTGAGACAATGTATGTCACCGGGTACACAACAAGCATAGGAGTGGCACTCAATAAATGCAATTTTTAGCTAAAAATGACCAAATCCATGCTCAGACTTGGGTGGTGTCTTTATGGGAGATGGCATTTCCACCCAGATAAGCGGGGAGCATAGGAATCTGTGTACTGCAGCCCCCAGCCCCACAGAGGTGTCCTCTGGCCCTTACCTCTGCCAGCGTGGTGTGCAGCTGGAATATCTGGCCCTCCCCTTCTACCTGCCGCACGCAGATCTTGCAGGTGAACTCCGTGGAGGCCAAGCTGTGCCTCTCCAGGGTGAAAGTGCAGTGCAGGGCCTTCTGGCTGCCACTCCAAATGTGATAGAAGGGGATCTCCTGCAGGAGGAGGGGGTCAGGGCCAAGCAGGCGAGGTTAGCCTGCCCTGGCCTCACAGGGGATGGAGGTGGAAGTGGGTGATGGGGCCAGCCTCAAGGAGGGCCCAGACCTTCAGGGGGCAGATCAGCCTCTGCACAGATGGACAGAGGAAGAAGAACTGGTCAAGGGCCCCGAAGCTGGCCTGGTGCATCTGTGTCAGGCCCTCTTTGTGTCTCGGGCTGGGAAGGATTCAATGGTGTCACACAGCAGGGGGTGGGGCAGAGGATGCACACTCATACAGACGGAAGGCCTCTTTGAGAATGACGGATACAGGTGTCTGTGTGTGGGCATGTGGGATAAGGCAGAAGTGTGAGCGTGGCTGTCAATGGCACTGAATGTGGGGATGTGCCTGAGGATGGCTGGGAGCATGGAGATGGCGGGGGGGGCGAGGAGGGAGACATAGATGGCAATGACAGAGACACCAGGGAGGGGCAAGGCTGCAGGACAGAGGGAAGAGGCAGGGCCTGGGCCTGGGAGGGGGAAACGGTCTTCCTTGGGCAGCCCCCTAAGTGGTACCCCCATCCCCAGCTCCCCGCTCTCTCCTTCAACCCAGCCCTCACCTGGTACTTGGCCAGCAGCTTGCTCCTCCAGTGGGCATGGGGGATGTCATGGAGGGAGAGGCGCAGGTTGTGGTAACTGTCCTTGAACAGCAGGGGTTTTGGTTCCTCCACCAGGTAGCCGCCCAGAGTCCGCTCCAGCTCCAGCACCTCCTGTGGGCCGGGGGCAATGAGAAGGGAGCCCGTCATGTTTGGCCAATGGGCCCTTTTCTGCTGCAAGCCGGGTTGCAGAGACCCATCTGAGCACAGGGCTGGGCATCCGGCAGGTGCTCATGGAAGCTTACGGAGTGGACAGATGAGTGGGTGGACAGAAAAATGGATGGATAAACAGACAGTAGGACAGATGGATGGATAAATGCATTTACAGATGACTGGATGGATAGATGGACTGAAAGATGGATGGATGGATAGACGGATGGCTAGACAGAAAGGCAGACAGATGGGTATACACATGGATATACAAATGGATGGGTTAGGAATAGGATAGATGGAAAATATAAATAAACGGACGGATGGGTGATGATTGGATGGACATACGGGCTGTCGACTGAATGGGTACATGGTGAGATAAATAGAAAAATGGGGGGAGGGACGAATGGATACGTTGATGGAGAGCTGAATAAACAAAGAAGCTACTGGGCCAAAGCGTGTCAACTTCCTGCTTGATCTCCGCACCATTCTCTGGCCAAAGCTGGACATGAGCCAACGCCCCAGTACCAAGACGTCCAGGCTGCAAGAGCATTTCCCAGGAGCCTCCACCCACTCTGGACCTCCTGGAATTTCAGGCCAGTGTGATTCCAGCAGGAGACACTCACTTCCCCATGGGGCCTTTTCGTCCACGTTGCATCAGTCTTCAATGTGGAGTTTGGGACAAGCCACATGAGACAGGGAGACAAAGGAGCTAGAAGGGACCACGGCCTAGGAGTGGGCATGGAGCCACAGGAAAGGACCTCGAGGCTTTGGGAAGGGGAGGATGGAAGGATGGAGGGGGAAAGGGGTTTAAACAGGACCAGCATTGGGACTCTTCCAGTGGGAATCTGGGATGAGACAGAGGCCCTGGGAACTGCGGGAAGGGTAGGGAGGGAACGGACAAGGGCTTTGAGGCATGTGGGAGCAGGTGGTACTAATACCATCAGGCTCTAGGTGCTAAAACTCTGATCCCCTCCCCACCCTCCCTCCCCATCCCAACCACTGCCCACCTGCCACGGCCCCTCCCTCAGCCAGGGGCACCACTGTTCATTCCTTTGTATATGCCAGGGGCCCGGCGATCAGCCCAGACCCCTCCCCTTGCCCATCCCACCCGTCACTGGTTCTGTCCGTTCTACTGACTAAGTTCAGAGACCGGCCCCCGCCTCCTGGCCGCTGCTGCTGCCTGCAGCCCAGGATCCAGCCCCAGCTTCCCAACTGGCCTCTCCACCTCCTGTCTTTCCGGCCCTGCAGTGTAGCTGCAGGGTCTCTCTAAAGAGCACCCATGAACAGGTGTCTTCCTGATCCCTCCCCCTTCTCACTGGGTGGATTCTAAATTCCTCAGCGGGGCCCCTAAGGCTCCTGGGAGGCTGAGCCCCGCCGGGGTCTCCTGCCCTCCCACACCCCCCGCCCCACATATGCTCAGGCCGCACTGAACTACACGCCCGCCTTGCACAGGCTGTTCTGTCTGGAATGCCCTTCACCTCCCTCTGCTGGGAACTCCTTACCTGCGCTCTGGGGCTTAGGTCTAAGATCAGCCTTCTCAGACCCCCTCCCCACCAACCCAAGCCCCTCCCCATCTGCTGCTCCCTCAGCCCTCTGGCTGACCCCCATCAGAGCCCTCAGCAAGCCTCATCTGTCTCCACCTCTAACCTAGAGCCTGTGCCTGATTCATCTCATATCTTGGGGGTCTGATGCCATTTCAGTGTTGGAGAGATGCATGAGTGACTGAATGCGGCTGCTGCTGGGGGAGGGGTGCTTAGAAGGGACTGGGCAGCTGGCTGGCCGGCCAGGGGTGACGCAGCCACAGTGCATGGCCTGGCCCTACCTTCAGTGCTACGGGTGTGTCCTCCAGGCAGTAGACCCTGAGGCTGTACTCCAGGGAGGTGCAGAGGGCGGGGGCGAAGACGGCCAGCTGGAGACGCTTGACTGCCGAGCGGGAATAGGACTCGCCCGTGAACACATAGGTGCCCAGCTGGTCCAACAGGATGTGGCAGGACCTGGCCTCCAGCTGACAGTAGCAGGGGGTGTTTAGGGTCTCCTCATCCAGAGTCACCACCTCCTGCAGGGGAGAGCAGGGGAGAGTAGACAGATCATAGTCATCCAGGCTGAGCCCAGAGGAAAGGGGCTTTCTCTCCCCACAAGACCTCCCGGGGCAGGTTTGGGCTGCTGAGCTGGCCCCCCAGCCTCAGCCTCTCACCTCCCAGTGGCCCTGGTGGGCCTGGGTCTTGAGCTGGAAGATCCAGTCGCCAGCGCTGACTTCGGCACAGTGGGGCACAGTGAGGATGACAGGGCGGCACAGTAGGAGGCCCGTGGGCCCGCAGGTCACCGAGGGGCTCAATACTGTCTGGGTACCTTCTGAAAGTGGGCTAGGGGCGGGAGGGAGGGCAGGAGGGAGGAGTGAGGGGAAGCCCAGGAGCTCGGCAAGGGCACAGACTCTGCAGAGGCCCGGGTCACCAAGGGCAGGTCTCTGCCACTCTGGGCTCTGGATCCCCCGAGAAAATGGCATAAACCTTGAGGTTGTTTCCAGATTTTTGCTATTATACCGAAACATTCTCATAGCTCGAAATTCTTTGCTCAAATTTTCAAAGGTTCTGCACTCTTGGAATGTTACCAATAGGTGCTGCTCAATTGCCCTCCGGAAGGCTGGTATCAATCTATACTCCCGCCAGCATGCCATGAGGGCATTAAGGTTTGAAAAAAAATCTTTTGATTTTCGAAAAAATTCCTTAAGCAAAAAAGCTCCCAATATCTCAAGATTGTTTTTTTAAAAATTAGGTTGCACACTTTCTCATGCCCTCCTGGCCATTGTGTGTGTGAGTGTGTAAGAAAGCGCGTGTGTGGATCACTCGCTCAGATCCTTTGCCCACTTTCATACCAAGATATTCAGTTTTTCTTACTGGTCTATAAAGCCTCTTTGCAGAGTAAGGATATTTAGCCTTTTGCCATACTTGCAGCCAGTTTGTTAACTGACTTTCAGTTTTATGATTTGTGGTGTTGGTTTTGCAAGTTATAAACTTGGACACAGGAAGATAACGTTTTCCTTGAAGGCCTACCTCTGGCCTAAGGCTCAGGCTTAGCAGGGTCACATTTGAGCCCAGCGTGGTGTGGGCAGGCAGCAGGGGAGAGAGGAAGAGGCGGGGGCAGCGGGGCCGGGGTTGGGCTCTCTACTCACAGGGTGTTTTCTGCCTTGTTGATAAGAAGGTACATCTCGTAGAACTTGCCCTGGGGAATGGCTCCATTGGGCACCAGCAGGCTGACCCCTAGGGGGAGAGGGAGGTCAGCAGGGAGAGGCTGGAGGGAGTCCAGCAGCTTGGGAGAACAGAGGATGGGGAGCTGGCTCCAGCTTGGGACAGAGAAAGACATTTCCTGAGCTCTAGGTGGTCACCAGCCAGGGGTGGGGACAGAGCATCTAGGGACCGAATGCATAGGGGAAGCTGGGCCACTGACCTCAGCTGGCTAGTCCAGTAACACAGGAGCCCCTGACATTGGTCTGGGATCTGAAGGTCCCAGTACCAGTTTCACCCCTAGCTCAGTGCAAGATGTTGGGAAGCTGTCAATTGCTGGCTTTGCAATCTATGATGGGCACCCTTTCTGCTGCTAGCTCTAGGATAGGGCTCATTTGTTGGATGACATAGGGCTATTCTCCCCCACTTAACAGATGGAGAAACTGAGGCTTAGAGAGGGGCTGGCCCTAGGTTCCTCTGCCCTAGTGAAGGCACAGGCAGGCATGAACCCCAAGCCTTCTAAGCAGAGTTCTCGATTCTACAGTCACTTCTTATCCCCAGGCCTCACTTTCCCCATCTGTGAAATGGGACTAGGAAAGTCCTATCTTCTGCTGGGTGGGCGCTGGGGCTGTCCAGAGAGGACATGCTGAGGCCAGGCTGATGGGCAAGCAGGGCAGGGGCCCACCTGTGCCAGGGATGCTGAGCCTCCCGCCCAGGCAACCAAAGGTGCCACTGACACTGCTCCCCGGGTCTCGGGGCAGGCCCAGGAGCTGCTGGGAGCTGAGGCTGGCACTGCGCAGGTGGAGGAAGTGGGCGTCCTGGGTGAAATCACTAGGGTACGTCCCAGATGGCAGGACCCCCAGCAGGTCGGCCCCGTCAGGCAGGCCTGGCCCGGAGCTGGTGGTGCTGGAGCTGTAGACCTTGATCTTGAGATTGGGCAGGGGGTCCAGCAGGGGTGAGTTGGTCATAGGGATCTTGTTGGCAGAGTCCTGCAGGGCATACACGGGCCCACGGTAGATGCCAGCGCTGGCCGTCAAGTCAGGAGGCACAGATGGGTGCAGGAGCTGCGGGTTGCCTGCAGGGGTGAGAGCTGCAGTCAGACCCAGCCATGCCTCACTGGCCCGGTCCTGTCCCTGCTGCTGCCAGGGGCACTCCAGTTACAAAATCCCAACAAATGTCCAGCTGCAAAAGACTCAATCACCACCCTCTTCAGGAAGCTTTGGGCAAACTCTGGAAAAACCCCGGGGAGTCAAGAGCCCCAGCTCTGATCTGGCCACTGCCACCACATCCCTCTGGGCCCCCAACTATGCCCGCCACCCCAGATGTCCTTGGGTCCTTACTGGGCCTTGCAGTCTTGAAGTTCACTGGGTGGAAGCCACCAGTGAGGGCGGCGGATGAGTCGGTGATGTCGGTGTCAAAGTCGCGGCAGTTGCGGCGGTACACCACCACCCCTACCACCATGAGGACTGCCACAACCACGAAGATGGCCACCACGAGGCCTGCATACAGCGCCACGTCCCCCGAGGTCTCCAGGACTGTGGGGACAGGAGCGTCATGTAAGGACCAGGGCCTGGGGAACTGGCACTGTGCTAAATTCTAGTCTGAGCCCTGCCACGACAGGCTGGTGTCCTCAGGCAAGAATTGAGCTTCTCTGAGTCAGTCTCTCTATCAGTAAAATGGCCTCAAAACCCCTGCCCTGCTCCCTCCCAGTCTGGCAAAGAGAGGGAAAAGAACAAAAGTGTTCACTCCCATGAGTTAACTTTGCTCACTGCTGAGCAGATGGGTCTGTGGTTCAGAGTCACTGGGGTCACAGTCTGTCCTATCAGAGCTGAGACTTAAACCTACAGAACCTCACTCGAAGCCGGCAGTGATTTCCACAGGCCCCAAGGTCCTGGCTCCCAGAAACCTTTGCCAGTGTGAGCCCCTCCCCCATTCATGCTCTGAGGTTGGGAGAGGAGGTGGAGGGGAAGGGGGGAGCAGAGGATCGGAATGAGATGCACAGCAATGGGGCGGAGGGAGGAAAGAACAAGGCTCAGGGAGGCAGCCCGTGGCTACACCTCCCTCTCCCAGGCAGGCTGCTGCACAGCTGGAAATAAAACACCTGCACAAGGCCAGGCAGGAAGGCGTCAAGGTCAGAGAGGTGGAGTCTACAGTAGGGCCTCCAACAGAACTTCCTAGGACGGTGGGAATGTTCCGTGTCTGTGCTGTCCCACACACAGCCACTAGCCACATGTGGCTACTGAACAACTGAAGCGTGGCGGGGGCACATTTCCCTGCATTTAAAAATCTGTTTAACGTTAATTAAGTTAAATATAAGTTTAAATAGCCACATGGGGCTGGTGGCTGCCCTGCTGGACAGCACAGAGTCAAGACAGGAGCCGCCAAGGTGGCGGCTCCTCCCCCTGCTTCTGGTGGGTGCTCCAGGAAGCACCTGCCACTCTCTCCTGCCCTGGGGGGCCCTTGGGGAGGCAGCCTGCTTCCCCTGCCTGGGCTCCCCCAAGCTCCTGTGCCCTTGGGGCCAGCTGAGCCTTACAGCAAGGCAGGGCATGGCTTTCAGCTTGGATGTCTGCCCACTGCCCACATCTGCCTATGCCCTTTACCTCTTCTCAGGAGCCCTCATCCCTGGACCCCCCGAGGACGCTGGCATCTAAGAGAGCAGCCAGAGAAGCCCCTCGGGGCTGGGCTCTCACCTCTCTGGAGGCTCTTTGCTCAGCAGGGAAACAGCTCCCCTGGCTTGGCTCTGCCTCCTAATGTCCTCACTGACACTGGGGCCACCTGCCCAGTGATTTATGCTCTAATCAGTCACCAGCCAGGCCCCCTGCAAGCTGGGCCCAGGGCCTCACTGCTGATTTTCTGATTCCAGAATAACTTGGGAATTGTGGTTCAATTACCACAGGCCAATCTGACAAAGTGGCTTTACTGCTCTGCCGTTACTGCGGTGGCAGTGCGGGCCCTCGGGGCAGGAGGGCGCAGGGTAGCGGGCAGCACAGATAACTTGGGAGGCTTGGTCCAGCTGCTGGGGCACAGAGAGGGGCACTGGGTAGGCAGGTGTTGCACTGTCCCCGGCCCTGTCCCAGAGAGGAAGGCTGAGGACACAGCATGAAGAGCCTCAGCTTTGGCCACAAAAACATTTGGGCCAGAACCATATCCTGGCTCTGCTACTTCCTGGCTGGGTGCTGAGCAAGTCCCTTCTTCTCTCTGAGAGGCAGTTTCCTCTCCTGTAACAGGAGGGTCAGCAGGGTGTCCTAGAGCCTTTCTGACAGCCAAGGGTCTGCCTGTCTGTCTGCGATAGAGGACGCAGACACATGCAGTGTGGGGTGCAGGGGGACCCTGTAGGGTACTAGCATGGGGGGCAGCTTCAACTCTCCCTGCCCTGCACCCCATACCCGGGAAAAGCCAGCCAAGGAGAACCCGGGATCCCCCAGAGGAAAGAGGACAGCCATGAAATGGGACTTACGGTGGCTGTTGGGATCACTTAGAGTTTTCTTATCTGTCGAGGGAAATAAAGGGAAAGACAATGACACAGGTGATAGGGAAAGGTGGCAGAGAAGTCGATGGGGAGATGGTGTGGATGAGAGGACGGACATGGAAGCTGAGGGCCACTCCACTGCAGGCCGGGCACTGAGGCTGGCGCTGGGCTGTGGAGGGTCCTTTACCTGGCTCCAGAGTCCCCACCCCAGGGCCCCGCCTTCCCGAGGACTCACTTTGCATGCACAGCCCGTCGGTGCAGTTCTTGGAGTCGAGCAGTGTCCCACTGCAGTCACGGCCTCCGTTCTGGGGCGGGGGCGCCATGCACTCGCGGCTGCGCCAGTGGGCACACTCGGTGCTACAGGCTGACCACTTGCTCCACTCCGTCCACGCCCCATCCACTGTGGGAGCACAGCACGCAGGAACGCCGCACACACAGTGACACACGCAGGACGCAGCACCACACACATGCACGCGTGCACACCGTGGCAGGGAAAGAGGCCCCGACCCACGCAGGCCATACAGAGAAATCCACACCATATCCACACAGCCCCACACCAGTGAACAGGCAGATGCAGCAGTGGACAAGAGAACAGAAGTAGATGCACAAGGTCATTCACAGAGACACAGCACCGGGCACAATTGCACACACAAAGATACAAACCCAGAGTATAAAACACCACACCATTCATACAAACACGCAACCACAGGAAGAGGACATATCCAGATGTGCAAGGACAGACGAGCAGGTGGGGACACAGAGAGTAAGAGGAAGACAAAAGGGAAGAGGACTGTCAATAGGAAATGGGTCCGTGGCCAAAGTGTGTCTGAACAGGTGCAGAAGGCTCTCCTGGGCCCCGGGCAGCCTGGGACACTGGCCTAGGGGTGACACTGAAAACCCTTGGCTTGGAGGGCAGAACCCAGGCTAGAGGGTCAGGGAAAAGAGCCCACCCTTCAGACTACAGCTCAGAGCCTCTGTCTCCATCTACCCAGCAGCCCAGGGCAGAGCAAGAGGTCAGAGGTCAGAGCATCTAGTCCAGCCACTCAGCCCGCTGTGGGCCCCGGGACAGGCACCTTCTGCTTCCCATGCCGGGAGGGAATGGCGATCCTGACTCTGGCACACCACAGTAGGCAGGGATAGGGTTTGAGGTGGGGTGGGCATGGCAGGGTGCCACCTGGCCAGTGACCCTTACCTGGGCACACGGTGGTGCAGGCGGTCTTCTGGAAGGCCTGGCCCTCACAGAAGGCACCTCCGTTGAGTGGGGCAGGGTTGGTGCAGGTCCGTGTGCGCTTCTGCCAGCCTCGGCCACAGCGGTTGGAGCAGGGTGACCACTCTGCCCAGCTGGACCAGCCCCCATTCACTGCAAGGGTGGCAGCCGTCACGTGGTTGGCCTGGCTCTGAGACCCATCTCCCACTCTGATGAGGCCCATTTGCTGAGGCTGGGCCCTCCCTAGTTAGAGCCCGCCTGCCCACAGGGCTGGGGACTTAGATCCCACCAGGCAGGCATGTTGCAACCATCAGCACCAGAGGGACCCGGAAGGTCACTCTGTTCCTCACCCCATTGTACAACGGCAAATGAATGTCCAGAGAGAGCTGACACTTACCTAGGGTCACCCTGTGAGTGATGGGGGACCTGGGACTCGGCTTGGTGCTGGCACCGAGCACAAGGCTGTTTGTATAACACTAAAGTCACCTTGGCTGTGGCTTTGCCCCTCCAACCCATGGGACCCAAGGGGTAGCAGAGAACAGCTTACAGGCCTGGGCATTGGTCCCTAACTCTGCTAGGACAATGGGCTGAGGTATGGGGATACTGACTGGGCCCCATCTCAGCTCTCTGATTTGGAGAGCAGTGGGTCTTTTTCAGAGATAGGCAAGGGGTCTTGAGAAGTGGGGAGTGCTCCTGGCTGGCGACCCAGAAATGCCCAACTTGGCCACTGATTTTGCTGTGTGACCTTGGTCAAGTCATCGCTCCTCCCTGGGCTGCATTCTCTCCACCTGTTCAGGGGTCCTGCTGGCCTCCTGGGTAGAGCCAGGTCGGTGCTACATGGAGCCCCAGGCCCTCTCCTCCCACCCCCCACCCCAGAGTAGCCCGCACCATAGACGATGACCGTGGCAGTGGTGCTCCGGCGCTTGGCCACGATGTTCTTGGCCACACAGGTGTAGTTGGCCGTATCTGATAGGCGGGCCTGGCGGATGATGAGGTTGTGGTCGATGGTGAGCAGGAAGTTGGTGTCCTGCGTGGGGTCAATGACGTCCTCGTTCTTGAGCCATTCCACCTGCAGGCGCAGGATTGGGGGCAGTGAAGGCTCAGAGCCCACTTGCTGTGTCCCAGGAGTGGGCCCACTATAGAGGGGAAAAGGCGTTCTGACTGTCAACAGAGCAGCAGTTCTATGTGGGTCCACGCCGGGTGGTGACTTGGTGAGGCAGGACCTCCACAGGGCTGAACACCATGCTAGGCACTACACAGCCCCACGTGGTCTTGGGAGGGAACTTACTACTCAAGGCCTCAATCTCACCCACTATAGGATGGGAAGCGAATGACATCTGCCCCACAGGGCTGTTGGGAGGATCACACGAGCTGGTTGGTGGAAGGTGCTGAGCAGTGCCTTGCTCAGAGTAAGTCTTGAACTGGTGTTAGCTGGCAGTACTGATTTCCTCATTAACTCCTCAGACCGGCTCTGTCAGCCAGGGTGAGAGGCCTGACAGGTGATTAGGAGCACTGTCCCTGGCCTCAAATCCTAGCTTTACCACTCACCAGCTGCCTCACCCTAGGTGGCCACATAACCCCTCCCAGAGCTGTTTCCCAGCTACAAGATGGGACAAGATCCACCTTGCAGGGCTGCTGTGAAGGCCACCGTGCCGAGTGTCCAGCACATGTGGGAACCACTGGAGCAGCAGCTATCACACAGGGTGTGTGCACAGCCTGTTGTCCAGATGTGGGCACGGGCTGCAGGGAAGCTAAGTGATTCGTGATTAGTTTTGGGGTCAGACAGGGCTGATCCTGAGCTGGAGGCCTGTCTTCTCCAACTTCCTGTTCTACTGGGGCCCCGGGGCAAAGCTGACATGCTCCCCCATGCCCAGCTCTAATTTCTGGACCACCAGTGCAGGGACAGGAATGGGCAGTGGAGACATGTCTGGAACACAGCAGGGGTGGTGGGAGGGGACAGGTGAGGAGGGGAAGGGATCCTCAGCTTGTGGTGCAAGTACATACTCAGACACATACATTATGAGACCCTTTGGTGTCCATAAAGCTGGGGCCTTGGGTCCTGGGTGGGGGCAGGGGAGGCTGAAGCTGGGGTCTACCCGAGGAGCCCTCGGGGTTCCTGCCTTAGCTCTACCCATCTGGAGGGTCACACCTATGGAGGGCCCAGCTGGGAACTGCATGTGCTGTGTTCTGCAGAGGTGGCAGTTCCCTTTTCTGTCCCAAGCCCCAACCTCCCCATCTGTGACATGGGGAGAGTTCTGGGAGGCTGTGGCAGGGTGGCTGGCGGTGAAACCTTGCCTGGCTGGCCTCCACCATGCCCAGTGTTCCCTCCATCCTGCTCACCTCAGCCACAGGCACCCCCTCCGGCGGGCGGCATTGCAGAAGAACCTCGTGGTCTAGGGGCACCTCCTTGCCCAAAGGCTCCTGATCGAAGTTCTTGCGTAAATCTGGGAGAAGTGAGGATCACGAAGCACAGTCAGGTAGGGGCAGGATTGAATCCTGATGTGCCCTGCTGTCACCACTAGGTGGCAGTGCGCACCAGAGGACTGTTCATGGGACACCTGGCCTTCACCTGGGGCATTTCGTCTTCTAAGGAGGGGTCTCACTAGGTGGAGTAAGGGTTCCTGACCCTGGGATCATAAGTACATAGTGGCCCAGGATGGGTGAGAAAGCTGTTAGGTTTCTTATGCAGAAAGTCAAAAAGGGCTGTTTGAAATCTTGGAGCCAGAGGTGGCCCAGCTTCTAGGTCTAGGAATCCTCTTCTGAGCTGGCATCTGTGTGCCCAGATGTTTCTGGGGTGGGCAACTTCAGCCAGGGATGCTATAGGAGGCTCCCACGGCTGTGGGAAGAGAAAGGGGAGGGGACCCCAGGGGATGTGGTGGGAGCATCAGGGTGGCGTACAGGCGATGCGGACATAGGCCCGGCGACTTTTGGTGGTGCCCGCGGAGCTCCAGGCCACACACTGGCACCAGTAATCCTCCAGCCCAAAGAGCTCCTCCACCTGCTGCCGCGATACCTCGATCTGAACCTCTCGCACCCGCAGGCCTGGGAAGAGGAGAGATGCCATCAGGGCAGGTCTAGGGATGTGAGGCACAAGTCACCCGAACTTGACATCCCTCCCTGCCACGCTGAGTCCTGTTGGCTCTGTTGCCAAAGTGCCTCTCATTTCTATTGCTTCCTCTCATCTCCTCTGCCTCCACCCTGGCCCAAGCTGCCATCGCCACCCGCCTGGACGCTGCAATGGCTGACACAGCCCTCTGCCCCTCCGATCCACTTTCCACCCAGCAGCTAGCGTGAGCACTTCAGAATGCACCACGATGTGTCATTCCCCCAGCATATCTCCAGTTCCCGCAGCATAAAGACCCAGATCCTCTGTGTGGCCTGCAGGGACTACCCCCCGAGTGACTCTGTAGCCGCGTTGTGATACACCTTCCCCACCCCACTGTGGTCTCACTGGGCATCTTCCAGCCCCTCATGTTCCCTGGGCTCTGCTAGTCACAGGGCCCTTGCACATTGGTGTCCTGCCTGGGGCTCTTTCATCTGCCAGCTTTTGGCTTGGCTTCACTTCCAGAACAAAGTCCCCCCCCCATGCCCACTCCCACCCGCTCACAGAGTGCCATTTGGCCCTCCCACCACTGCTCTGGACATTTGTGCCGTTACCATTCCTCTACCCAGACTGATCTTCTCGTAGAGACCCTATTGGGACCACGTTATTTAGATGTGTTCATGTGTTAATCATCTTTCTCCTGCAGGAGAATGAGGGGCTTTGTCCTGTTTGTTGCTGGGGCCCAGGGCCTGGCACAGAAAGGGCCTCAGCACGTATCTGAAGGGAACATGCGGCACAGCTGTGACGCCAGCCTCTCCCTGGTGGCTTCTCAGGAGCTTGTGGGGCCTCCCTGGGTAACGGGATCTACCAGCCTACATGGGGGGATCACTTCATCTCCTGCCAACCTCCCTTGACAAAGCCCTCTGTGCCCAGGAAAGGAGTGGACCCACCTGGATTAGGGCACCCATCTGAAGCCCTCCCCAAAGGCTGTGGGAGGACTGTGCGGACTCCTCCTCCAGGAAGCCTTCCTGACTGTCTAAGAATTCCTAAAGCTGCTTCTCCTTGCTGTGATGTGTCCTATCTCATTCTCTCATGGCACATGGGTTGTTAAGCCCCTTGAGGACAGGACTGTACTCATTGTGGTATCGTGGCATGGTAGACAGATGGCTGGACAGGTTGAATCTTGGCCCCATCCTCACTCCCCAGCTGTGTGACCTTGGCCAAGTTACCTAGCCTCTCTGAACCTGAGTTCCCTTATCATAGGAACACACTCAGGGTAAACTCTAAATGAATCATAGTGATTACTCTGCTACAGCACCCAGCCTAGGCGGACACAAATTTACTCTGGCAAGTCATCTGGATCTTAGCCGGCCCCTTCCTTTTTACATTAGGAGAAACTGAGACCCAGAGGGGGTAAGTGGCAGGCCCAAAGCCTCCCAGCAGGCTGCCTGCAGAGCAGAGATCAGCTGTCTGGTATCTTGCCCAGGTTAGAGCTCTATGTCCTAACACACAATGCCTCTCTGGACTTCTCCCAGTGAAGTCGCTGCCGTAACTCTCCCACATCAGCAGGGGTGTGGTGGTGGGGGGCCTTGTATTGGGAGCCCAGACTGTGAGGACCTAATGGCCAGGGATTTAAATGGCAGGGGTTTGCCATTGGAGGAAGAAGCTGCTTCAGGGGTGGGTGGGTGGCTCTGTCTGCCTGCAGTGGCTGCCTGGAGTGCCGGCTTTACCATCAATGCTGTGTGGTCTGGGCAGCAGGGCCCCTGCCCGGTATTCACCAGGCTGTGAACCTGGAAGAGTGGTCTCTTTCAAGGGGGCCATCCATTCAAGGTTTCAGCAGCACCCAACAGTTAGACAGTGGGAAACTGTCACTCAGTGAGGCTTGGCATGTTGCCCATGGTCCCCAGCAATCATGGAAACTCAGAGAAGACAAGGACGGGCGCCTCTGGTCTCCTGGATGTGGGCCCCAGCACCAGGTTGCCCTCCCAAGCATGGTGGCTGAGGCAGACGGGGCCTGGGCCAGGACACCCAGGGCTGGGCTGCCTGCCCCAACCTGGCATGAGCTGGTTGGTGAGCCCATGCCCACCTCTCCTGGCCCACGGCTGTCCTCCTCTGTGTTTTCAGGGCCTCAGAGAGTGCCAGGGAGGATGGGAGGTGAAAAGCAGAAGGGTGAAGTGGAACCAGTCCCTGCTGCTGCCAGGGAGGGCCTGCTGGATCACTGTCCATTATAGGCAGCTAATAGGGACAACACTGCCCCAATTTCTAGGGCTGGCAGGGCCTGTGTGCGTGGTGGCAGGGAGTAAGAGCCATGCTGTTACTATTACTAATAATCACAGGGTTATTATTACTATTACTAATCATCTGTGAGGGGCCCCTACAGGCACACTGTTCCTGTGCTCTGCTGGAACCCCATGGCTAACCTCTGACACAGGCCGGAGGGGGCTGGGGGACAGAAAAGGAAGGACTGGTGGTGAGACAGAGAGAAAAAGAGGCCAGAAAAAAGCCAGAAAGGGGACAGAGGAAGCAGGCGTTTATCGAGAGCCTGCTGAGTCCTGGCACCCTGCTCAGTGCTGCACGTGCACTGCCTTGTTCCACCCTTACCAGAACCTTCTGTTAACATCCCAGTTTACAGAGAGAGAGAAACTGACTGGGGCTCAGAGAGGTTTTGTGACTTCCCCAGGGTCACACAGCCAGAGAATGAGGATATCTGATGTCTGGCAATTATGGAAATATGGGGTCGCTTTCTTTTTCCTTAAAAAATTTCTTTTTTATTTTTAGATTTAGGGTGAGAATGGGATTCCAAACCTATTTTTTAAAAATTATTTTTAAATTGTGGAAAAAAATCTAGGCAAGCAACAGAGCACACCCAGGGTCCTGAGGCAGGGGCCGTGGGCCACCGCCTCTGCCCGCAAGAACATTCTAGAATGGATTTATTAGTCATGCGTGTTTCTTTGGGGGTGTGTGACTTGTCCTTCACCAAATCTCTGTTAAGATTTTTCTAATTCATTTTTTTTTTTGTCTTTTGTCTTTTTTCCGTGTCTGGCAACGGATCGCAACCCTCAGTGTTGCCCCCGTACTGGACCGGGAACTGGCAACGGGATTGCAACCCTCGGCGTTGCTCCCGCGCCTCGCTCAGCCAGTGAGCGGGAACCGGTCTGTATGTGGGATCCGAACCCTCGGGCGGGAGCGCCGCCACACTTCCCAAGCGGCACACTATCCAGTGCGCCACCGGGCCGGCCCTTCTAATTCATTTTTAAGAGTTCTTTACGCATTAAGGATGTTCATCTTTCTGTGTTAAATTTGTTCCTTATCAGTTGACTTTAAATTCGATTTGTGATGTTTACCTTCTTTTGTATGTTGAGAAAATAATTTTCTACCTAAACATTAAATAAAAAATAAAAATAAGATAAAATCATGGTAAAATACACATAACATAAAACTTCCCATTTTAACCATTTTTAAGTGTTCAGTGGCCTTAAGTACATTCAGGATATGGTTTTGAGTCTGGATAGTTTTGAAATCTGTGAGCTTTTCATGGCAAAATAGAAACTGATGGAGGGAGAAAGACAGAGAGTGAGAGAGAAATGTCAGCGGAGAGACACAGGGTGAGACAGAGAGGAAGACGGAAAGACAGGGGAGGAGGTGGGAGAGAGAGCAAGAGAGACGCAAACACAAAAGGAAAAGTCAGAGAGAGAGACGGGGCGACAGGGGAGAGGCCAGCGGTGGACAGAAGAGAGGGCTGAGAAAGAATCGGGGAAAAGATGCTGAAAACAAAACAAACAAGACAGGCTCCTGGAGCCTGGGAGCCACCTGAGCCCTGGGTCGGCCGGCGTTCCCGAGCCACCATCCATCGGGCGACCAGGGGTGGTGGCCCTGCCTCCCTGTCCTAAGCCCTGGGACAGGCCATCCCCCCACTCAGACTCAGGTACAGCCCGCAGGCAGGCCCAGTTTCTGGAAGACGTGAGCACCTGGGGCCTCCACGTGCCCGGGGGCACCCGGGACCCCGCACACATCTCAGGAGCGGACCCGCACCGCCTCCCTGTTTCCTAGTCTCAGCCGCTCTTCTGTCTCCCTCGGGATGTGGGCTCCATTCCGGCACCGCCTGCATGATTATTTATATGACATTATCCACCTCTTTTTTTTTTTTTTTTAAACCTAAAACAGTGTATTTCTTTATAGGGAATGTCACATCATTATTGGGAATGGAAAACAGTGTCACTTTCCACAAGCAGAAGGACCTGTGAAGACAGTGACGGTACTGACTCTGGTTTGGTGCCATGGGGCGCCAGGGCTGTGGGACAGCGGCCCCGCCTCTGTTAAACATGGGGACCGGCCAGTGTTGGGAGCACTTGCGAGCCCCAGCTCGCGGCTGCAGCCTGTGCCCTGACACAGCGGAGGATGGAAAGCAAACGGAGGAGGAACAAGCACTCAGCCAGGAATTCGGCGCTATCCAATGTCGTGGCAAATGGTCACCTAAAGTCAGGCTGGGACACATCGCTAATACTTGGGGAAATACTGGTCCCTGGTGAACCCCAGAGGGGAAACTGAGGCCGAGAAGTGTCCCATGGCTGTGTGAAGTCTCACATGGAACCCGGGACATAGCCCACCCAGGATCAGTTGTCCCCCTGCATCCCTGGGCCTGGGGTGTCCTGGGGAGCCCGGGCGAGGGGGGCGGGCTCACCGGTGGCCTCGTCCCGACCCTCCTGTGTGACGTGGTCGTTCTGGCTGACCCACTCGCCGTTGCACTTGAAGTAGATCTGCGTGGCAGGGAAGGCGCGGCAGCGCAGCTCCACCGGCTTGTTCTTCACGATGTAGGCGTCCTGCGGCTCCTGCAGGAAGTGGGGCAGCGGCTCGGCCGGCGCGGACGGGAAGGAGTGGGGCAGCTCCTCGTTGCCGGCATCAGTGCCTGTAGAGGGAGTGGACACGTGCGTGAGGCCCTGTGGAACCCCTCGCCTACCCTGGGGGCCACCATGGAGAGAAAAGGCCGGAGAGGCAGAGGGCGGGCAGCTGGAGACCTACTGAGAACATGCTTTGTGATCTGAGCAATGTCTGGCACTCCTGAGGCCTCAGTTTCCCCTTCCTGCCCTGCTTTTAAGAAGCTGGGCTTTAGAGCTGGTCCAGCTCTGTGATGCTCTTTTACAGATGCAGAAGTCAGGGAGGCCCAGAGAGAAGAGGCGATCTGTCAGGGCAAGGACACCCTTTCGGCCCTCCCCAGTGTCCCCTGCACTGGCCCTGCCTGGTCTCCCTCCAGTTTCCCAGGGTGATGCCACAGTACAAGGTGGGCTGGGAAAAGAGCTGTGGCTGGAGCTCAAACCAGGCTGGCTCTGCCCTGAAGCCACGGTTGCCCTTTGCAGCCCCAGCCAGCCAGGCCCACTTAAGCGCAGAGATGAGCCAGGGCCCACAGGAGTATGGGGTGGGTTGGGGGCGGCTGCACCAGGCCTGGCTCCCTGGTACTTGGCCCCTGCAGGCCTCCTCCTCCAGGAAGCCCAAGGTCTCAGCAGAGGGCTGTGGAGGCAGTGTGGAGGGAGACCTCCTCCCAGCCCTTAGCCTCTCCCGCAGCAGCCAAAAATCCACACCCTCAGCACTACGGATGAGGAAACTACAGGGAACCCAGCAAGGCCGAGCCCGCGGCAATCTCCTCCCCTAAAGGGGGCCGAGTGGAAACCCTGGCCCTCCCGCCTGCCTGTCACCCTGGAAAGAACAGCACCTCAGGAGGTGAGACAAACAGGAAGGGAGGGGCCCGGCCACACCAGCGTGAGAGGGAGGGAAACTGGGCCAGGCCAGGCAATTGGTTTACGATCCACTCAGGAAAATTGACTTTCCAACGCCAAATGCCAACTGATTAAGTGGCCAGGGACAGCCGTGGGGGCATGTCCTCCTCTGCTAACTGCTCCAGAGGACATGCTGAACGAAGGTGTGGTGTGCATGTCTGCCCAGCCCTAGGAGCACGCATTTGCTCTCCAGTCCAGGAGGCCAACTGGGCCCTAGGGAGCCCCCACAGGCAGAAGGGCCAGGGACATGGGCTTTCCAAGAGCAGAATGAACCAAACATACATGGCTGGGTTTTCTCTTTGCAGACCAGGTGACCCTGCTAAGACTGGGGTGGCTTTGGGAGAAAAATGCATGGATTATCAGTGGCTCCTGGCTCTAGGCCTTGGGTTCTGTGTGTGTGTGTGTGTGTGTGTGTGTGTATTTCGGGGATGGGGTTGGCCTGGGAGAGTGAAGGGGAAGCCGGCGAGATTGGGTATAAATCCAGCTCCATCCAGCAAGTTCTGTGTGACCCAGGGAGAGTGTAATTCCGACCTCATTCCTCCATCTCAGAAGAGGGCAGAGAGGTGGACACTCCTGATCTCCCTCTGGGCTGCTTTGACGATCACATGAGATAGACACACACGAATGCCTAGGAGGGGCCTGGCACGCCTTAGGTACGTGTTGCTCTGTTGAAATCACAACTGATGCTCACCTAGCTTCAGGTACTGTGTTTCCAGCACTTTACATAGTTATTAACTTATCTAATTCTTACTACGACCCTGTGAGGTATGTTCTATTAGTCCCCGTTTTACAGATAGGAAAACTGAGGCTCAGAAAGGTTAAGCAACTTGCCCAAGGTCACACAGCTAGCCAGAGGCAGAGCCAAGGTTTGAACCCAAGAAACAGACATTAGTGTTTGGGATGTTGCCCAGGACTCCACACTGCCTAGCACTGATGTAGCCCCGTAACATTATGGGTGTCCCCACACCTGAGAATCCTAATAGCAACCTGACACTGGCCAGGACTCTGTAGTTTACAGGGCTCTCCTGTCGAAGAGGGCGCCCTGCAAGGCTGGGACCATCCTTCTTGCCTCAAAGCTGAGGACACTGAAACCATCCAAGTGGGGCCAGTGACTTGACCAAGGCCATCTGGCTAGAGGGCCGCTAACCTGGGAACAGCACAGAGTATTTCTGAGGACAGTAGGGCTCCCCCACACCCCTTTCCCTCTGCCAGGCAGGGGGACATGTCTCTGTAGGCACATTGGCAGCCCCCTAGGGTCTGAGAGCTTAAGGGGTTGATGGGAGATGACACAGTGACCTGGTCACACCCAAGGGAGATGGACATCAATTTCCAGTGGCCTGAGAGGTGGTCACTGTGCCTACCCTCAGAGAGCCACTGTGGCCTCCCTACCAGGCTGGGCAGCTCTGGGGAAAGCAGGATGGAGCCATGGGTGGGGGCATCTGGGCAGCAGAGAGCCTGCTGGGCTCCGTGCCCACCTCTTACCACCAGCATCTTGTCCCCGTCTCAGCCCCTGGGGTGTAATGAGTCTGCCCCAGAGGTCAGACTTTAGACTCAGATTCCCCCAGTTCTGCACCTGCCCCTTACTGGCCTCAGGCAGCTCATCGATGAAATGGGGGCACCCGGCCACCCTCCTGGGGTGCGTTGTGGCCACAGAGAAGGTGCATGGTAGCCCATGGGTGCACGTCACATGCTCGTCCCTAACTTGTAACCATGCTGCCACAGCCCCCAGGTAATGGCTGCCCCTACTCTCTGCAGCGCTGCAGGCTGTATTTACGACTCTGTTTTATAACCCTAATGCGGCTCATTTATAAAGCGGGCGCAGACACGACTGAGGAAAGCAAATGCTAGCCAGCCATTAGCATGGTGGCCTATGTCTGGGGCCCCACAGCCCTGCCCTTCCCACCCGCTGCTCCTTCAGCCCTCATGTAAAGATTCATCTCTGGCCTCGGCAGGGACAAGGCCACGACCCCCTTGGTCCCTCTCCTTATGGCAGCACGGCTGGCTCTCGATGTAGCTGTTGTCCCTTGCCAACATCCCCACAACCCAGGTGTTCTGGAGGCACCATGGGTGGACTCTGTGCTGGCCACACGCAGCAGGTGCACAGGGATGCGAATTAAATACAGGGGTGTGTGGGGGTGTGTGGAGGGGGTGGTGCCAGGGCCTGTGTCGAGCTCTAACTTCTCCTTGTCCCCTGGTGTCTGGGGGAGGCTCGGCAGATGGTCCAATTGAGGGCAACCTGAGCCAAGCCCTGTGGGTGCCACCCTGGAGGGAGAATAGTGGAGTGTCAGGTTCCTGGGTGTTACTCTACCAAGTGCTGTTTAGAGGATGTTTCCTGTGATCTCAGCGAGCCCCACGATAACCCTAGACAAAGATGCCCAAACTTTTTTGCTCTTTTGTGTCAGTAATTTTTTCATGGTATCCCAAGGCCAAAAATAAATTCCTAACAGTTAAGAAGCTATTAAGTAGTTAAATCCAAATGGTTTCATAATTATTTGCATCCGAAAAACTTAGCAGCTGCTTGGGAAAATACTACATGTACATTGGAAGAAAAAGACTATTTTTATTCCACTCCTAAACAGCCACGATGACTTACTGATGGGGATGTGCACACCCCTCAGGCACCGCACAACTTCTCAAACCTTGGGATCAGAGTGGACACCGCCCCCCTCGTTGTTTGTCACGGGGTACTCCAAAATGCCCAAATCCCAGCTTTGCAAAGATACAGCGCCAAATGAAGGAAAGTAGAGTGATATCATGTTGAAACCGTGAGCTACCTTGAGCCAGTAGTCAGAGCAGTATCTGACAGCCGTCCAGGATTGCTTTTTCCCTCGAAGATTAAAAATATCCCACAGCACCCGTGAGTCTGCTGTAGTACCCTGGGGTGACTCGGCACACAGTTTGGGAACCACAGCCCTGTGAGTGAGGTACCATTTTTACAGATGAGGAAACTGAGACCAAACGTGTTTGAGAAACTGGTGCAGGGCTGTGAAGTGGTAAGTAGCAGAACTGGGGAGCAATTCGGGTGACGTAATGCCAGCATCTGCCTTCTGAACTGGAAGTTGGCATTCACATACACTATGTGCCAGGTTCTACAAACATTCCCCCTTATTTCCTCCTCACAACCCTAGGGTGGGGATTATCTCCCCATTTTACAGATGAAGACATGGGGCATCGAGGGACATCGAGGGACATCGAGGGTCACCTGGCCAATGGGAGGAGCCAGGCTGGAAGCCACATCTCTTGGTCCCCTGTCCCTCACCCCCAGCACTGCTGTAACCCTCCCAGCTGGCTCCATCTTTACAGGAGAATAAAACACCCGAGCAGGGTTCCCCTGGGAGAGACCTTGCCTCAGCCAGGCCGGATCTGGGTTTCCTGCTGGCAGGAAAATTTCCCACATAAAGTGTTTTGTTCTAATAGTGGCACTCATTTGGGCCTAAGTTGTAAAAATGCAACCTGCCTTTAAAGCCACATACGGAATGGTCCAGATATGCCAAGAAGAAGATATGAAAGAGAACACAGCGTGCACAGGTGTTAGTGACAAGGTGGTCCAGCGCAGAAAAAGAAAATCGCCGAGCTCAGGAGCCCAGGAGCCCCGGGTTTGCGTCTCAGCTGGGGACTGACAGGGGCCGTGTGGCCTTTGAGTCGCCACCTGGAAAACGAGGAACTTTGGTGAAGCCAATTTCTCCAGCTCTATTCTGGCTTGAACACTCTGAGATTTTAAGATCCCTTGTGGGGAATCTGTTCATGTGTGAAAGTGTCCTGTTGAGTACAGTTTTTCCTCACAAAGCAAATTTGCTTAAAGTAGGGTCACTTTTCTTGCCATTGCTATTCCTGGCCCAAAAACCTGGCACAGATGGTTGCTGAAAGGTGGAGTGTGTGTGGAACCCAGGGGAGGAGGAGGAGGAACCATTTGCTGCTGGGCTCTCTCAGCCACACCCAAGGCCACCCACCCAGGCCTCAGATCACAATGACCACCAGCGCCTCGTGATCCTCCTGTGGGCGCATTCACCCCTCACTTCTAATTTACCTTCACCTGCCCATATGAGGTCTCTACGGAGGCTACCTAAAGGGCCGTCTCATCCAACACCCCCATCCATTCCCTGTCCCACCCTGACTCACGTTCCTCCAGGGTTGGGGAGCTCACCACGGCATTTCTCAGCCAGGGTCTACTTTGGACGGACCTAGCAGAAAAGGCCTCTTTACTGTCAGCTGCAATTTGCTGTCCGAGGTGCCAGCCTTTGCTATAATTCTAACCTTGGCGGTCATACCAAGCACTGCTCTTCCTCTTCCCACGACAGCCCCAGTCTCTGGAGGAGCAGGCCGCCCTCCCTGGCCTTCTGTTTTTCTTTCGAATATTCTCTGCAAGACACAAATTTGTAGCACTTCACCTCCATCCTGGCTTCCTTACGGACAAGTCCCATTTTGCTCACAACCCACCTAAAATGCAAGGAGGTGAGGTGACCAGGGTGGAGTCTGATGGGCACCCCCCTGCTTCTGGAAAGTATATTTTGAGTTGGGCAGCTCGAAGTCTCCTTGGCAGTTTTGGCAGCTGCTCCTGGAGGGCAGGGAGCACACCACCTCCTCCCTGGTGTCCTCCCCGCCCCTTCACAGTGTCCAGGACAGGTGCCATCTGGGAGGAGCAGGGCCTGGGCAGTGCCTGCTGTGGAGACACGGGCTTGTTTAAGAGGTGCCAGAATCTAAGCCACTAGAATAAGCAGGAGCAAGGGGCCTTGGAGGTGAAGGAGAGGCTTTAGGACAAATGTAAAACAACTGTATTTCCCAGAGTGTCCCTAAAAGGAAGGAGCAGCTCAAACATTCCTGAATGGGGGACTGTCACCACCACTCCTAGGGAGGCCAGAGGAGTTCCGCTTCCCTTACTGTGATCCTGGCCCCAGGGCCTGGGCTCCATGGGTCTGCGGCAAAACAGGCTGGCCTGAGAGCCAGCAGACCTGGTTCAAATCCTCACTCTGCACCGCGAGACCATGGGAAGGTTACTTTACCTCTCGGGTCTCAGTTTGCCTATCTATAAAATGGGATAGCAGTTCCCGCTCTGTCAACTTCAAGTTGTTATTGTGAAGGCCAACTGAGAAAACAGACGTAAGTGGGCTTTGCTAACTGGATAGTGTGTGCCCTGGGAGAGGCAGCAGGCAGGGACTGTTCTCTGGCTGAGCTGCATGTCAGCAGGCCTGGAACCCCACACTGGCAGCTTTCCTGGCCTCTCACCACCTGATCCCCTGTAGGCTGGAAGCATAGGAAGTCGATGCTCAGAGGGCTTGCAGCCCCTGGAGGCCTGTGTTCTACTAGCTCAGAGAGGGGAAGTGACTAATGCAACATCACACAATGAATTAACAGCCAATCTGGGTCACAACCCAGTGTCTGATTTGGGATTGAGGGGAGACAGGGCCCAGAAAGACAACATAGCCACGTGAGGCCTGTGGGTAAAGGCTTAGGGATCTGTATGTAATTCTTGGGCCTGGGATAAGAACTCACTACCATCCGTCTCAGCTGGGTCCACCTCCGGTCAGCCCTGTTCCCCAGGGCAGAGACTTCTGCAGGAGGCTGCAGTGCGGTTTGGTACCACCACTAGCTTTTGTCTCCAGGCCTGGGCCCCCCAGGCTCAGCACCCAGGGGAGGGCATCTGCAGCTGAGCGGGGCTGGTGTCTCCAGGGCTGGCTGGTGCAGGACTGGGAGGGGAGAGGAGGAACAGGCGGGAGGTGAGGAGAGAAGCGCCCCACGCTGGGCACATCTATCATCAGCAATCACAGTCTTTCTGTAGCCCCCGGACACCAGCTAATTCTTGCCAGACTTGACCTCCCACTGCATGGAAAATCCCTCCCATTCACTGCACGGCTGATGTGCTCAGTGGGGAGTGAGAAGAGTTGGGGGGGAGGAGCCCACGTATTATTATGTTTTAAAAACGCACAGCCCCACATGGATGGACCCCTCCCTGGACACAAAGCCCTTCCTCCATCTGGCCCTGGCTCCTCGCGGCTGTGGGGTTCAGGCTGGGGCCCCCCTCAGGGATGGTTACAATGGCCGTTACTGATGACAAATGGGGGCTGGCAGACTTGGGGACGCTAAGTTATTGCTAACAAAGGAAGCCCTTGCGCAGCTCTTTTCCCATGCCCTCTGCACCTGCCCATGGCTGTGACATCACTTCCTGTGCGGGCCACAGGAAGTGGTCTCACTAAGATGGCCACCAAGGCAGGAGTTTGCATCCTGAAGGGGTTGTCCTCTGCTCCTATATAACCTCTCCCCTCGAAAGACTGAGTGGCAAGCAAGAGTTGATGGGAGGCTGGGGACAAGGCCCCAGGGCGGGCAGGGAGTGTTGGAAGAGAGCAGGGCCCCATTTTACAGGGGGTCTCACTACTTACAAAGTAGGGAGGGACACCACAGTCACTGGTCTATCCTGACTCACAGTGGCGACTACACTCCACACCCCAGGCCATCCTTCCAGACCCCTCCTCTGGCTGCAGGCTCCAACAGCCTGG